TTGGAGGCCCCTGATACCTACACAGACAGATTATTCATTCAGAGGAAAGAACTTCTGGTTTTATACCATTGATCCCATACAGATTTACCTTCTCACTGCCTCTGTGCCAAACAGAGAAGGTTCCTGCACACTGGAAATTCCTGTGCTCTTGCTGGTCCAGTGCTGTTCAATATGGGTCCTGTGATCCTGTGCTCAGAATGAACCTGAAGGCAGGACCAGAAGAGAAGGGCATTTCATCCAAGCTGCCTGTACTTTATCAGTGTAAACAGAGATTTCACTTGACCAGGACTGAGTGTCCCCCTTGAGATAATAGTCTGTACAACTCTCTGAGAACTCTGGTCTAGGATTTCCTCCACATCCTTTAACTGACTTGGGTCCTGTTCTCCATCATCCATCAGGATTTATGGGTGGCTAGGGCTAATTTTTTATATCATGATGAGAGCACAAAGAATGCAGTCACCTTGGCAGCTAATAAAAGCTTTCTGTCTTCCATTCATAAACCAATGCACTACTGTAAAATAAGGAAACTGATTCCTATTTATCTACTTATTATTTCCCTTAGAAATTAGTGAGGAATAGCAGAAATATTTGGAAGCCATCAGGAGATGTACTGTATAATTAAGCTGCTGTCCCTGCTTATAAGTTATTATAAGAAGGTTACCAGATATTTGCATCATTACAAATTATCATACAGTATTTCATATTATAACAGATGAGGTAGGTCCTTAGTGGGAGCATAGGTTGATCATTTAGACATTGTTGATACAGCTGCTACACATTACAACTGAACAATTTAATAGTTTACCAATTGACTATAAGGTCAATGCTTAAATATTCTTCACAAAAAAATGGTGGATGGAGTTTTTTTGCCCACCGAGGAATTGCTTGTAAAAGACTGTTTTATAAAAATATATGTAGACCAAAAGGGTTGCACTCTGTAGTAGCTTAAAAAGTCTTATGCCAAAGTTGCTAATCCAGCCCACTCATGACTAAAATTTATCAAATATATTAGGATGTCTTTTTGTAAGTAAAAAATTAAAGAGAAGAATATTTACTGGCTGCAATTCATTTTTGAGTAGATGGACCATCATATTCTAAACTGCTAGTCAGGAGTGATTCCCACTGCACCTTTCCATGGCTGCAGTGTCTTCCAGAAGGCAATGAATATCAAGTGTTGGTAATTTTCTTCCCTGGAGTTTAAGCTATAAATAAGGGCAGTGTGGGAAAGTTTATTGTCTCTGCTGGAGAAAGAACCTGATTTCATTGACTATGTCGTGTCACCATCTGCCATGGACTGTGTTTGTGAAGATACAAATTAGACAATGCAGGTGTTGAGCTAAAAATCTTGTGAAGAACATATATAGTAGAAGACCCATTTTTGGTAAAAGAATAACAAGAGTGACAAGGTTTACTTCACATATCTTAAAACTAATTTTAACTGTTAATATGTTGTTAACATACTATTAACATTGGTTCTTTTTTCGTTGATAAGCAACATGATAGAAAGTTGGGCATGAACTCTGCAGTCTCTTTTGATGCTGCATTGGCTAATTAAGAATTATGGCACCTCCAGCAGTGGGGCCTGCATATTTTCTGGCAAGTGACAAAACTGCTGTCTGTTTTCTTGTAAGGGAAGAAGCCCTTACCTGCCCTTCCAGAACTAAGAAATTCTCTATGGGAATCTGTGTGCCTGACTTCTGAAAGCTGCAGCTGGTTACTGCCACCAATCTACTTGTAAAAGGAAAAGCCATCAACATGAGCACACTTGCTCAAAAATAATGAATTATATCTGTTAGTATAAGCCGTACAGTCAAGTTGGCTCAGGCTGAATGTCAAATTAACCTCAGGCTGAATGCCATGAAAATAATAAAGACAGAAGAGGCATACCTGTTAGAACAATGGTGCATGGTGTGCTTATAATAACACAGGAATGTGAGTCACAGTGGCTCTGTACTCTACAAAGTACTGTAACCTTTGTCAGAAAAACAAGTGCAGTTTATTTCCTTGACAGTGTACTTTGGCAATGGTGTAGCTACTAGAGTTTTTCTTTATGCTGCTTCTTGGAAGGATGAATAGGTCAATTGTTCCTTCACATTCCTGAGGTTTGATTAATGCTGGAATTATGATTAGTTGTACTTGGGGCTGCCACATGCAGTGGAGAGGCTGGGCAGCAGAGAGGGCGAGAGGAGGGTGGCATTGGGAGCTCACCTGGGATTACACTGGTGCCTGTTCTCAGCCTGGTGATTCCAAAGGTAAACCTGTCCTGCAGTGACCAACACTAGATCCTGGTGATGGCCAAAGCCATCACACTGGGGTTCACATATGCTGCCTCACTGCCTACAGCTTTGTTTCCCTCATTTTGTTTCATTTTCAATAATTTTTATTGACTAAAAAAAGATCTACAACCTTAGCTACACTATCTTAGTAATTACTTACATGGGCACAAGAAATGTGATTTTACACTGGGTAGAATATATATGCCACATACCCCTATATTACCCATTTTAGTCTTGATCATGGATTAGTTAATTTTTCTCAAAAGGATAGGAAAGGATAAGAAAAGAGGAATTTCACTCTACAAATGCAAAAATGTTGGAAGAACCTATGGGAAGAACCCATGGATTAGTTAATTTTTCTCAAAAGGATAGGAAAGGATAAGAAAAGAGGAATTTCACTCTACAAATGCAAAAATGTTGGAAGAACCTAAATATTTTGGGCCCAATATGTGATACCTAGGGATAAATTTTTATTTTTGTTTTAAGTGATTGTTTAGCATTCTCTAGGATTGTCTGTGTTCACTTTAGCCCCCAGTGTGTTCTGGTGCAGCTGTGAGGAATTGCAGCCACTTTGAACTAAGCTCTTCAAGGACATATATTTCTTCATGCTGTAACATCTTCCCTGGAGAAACCTGAGCTAGCATCTGAGCTAGCTGACTATAGCGACCAGAAATATTTGCTTGGGGAGCATGGAGCATCCCATCCTAGGGGCAGATATGCAAAGTCACTAACAGGGAGGATTTCTTGTGAGACAGAACTCAGAAAATTATTGCTGCTTGTGAAAAATCTGTGTTAAGGAGTTTGCCCAAATCACAGAAAGATGGTGAGATGAAGGCAAGGAGAAGACTCAGGGCTGCATCCAGCTGCCTTTGTCATTGAACTCAGGTTTTCTTGTGTCTCCTTTTCGACACAACTTTTTGGTCAACAAAGCCATTTATACAGGGGTTTGGTTTTGTTTTTTTTTTTTCCAGGAGCTTGGTCCACTCAGTGAAAACAATCCATTTGGTTTACAAACATTGTATGAGAAAAAGGAAATCATTGTATCATACTCTGATTAAAAATTTAATACCTTTTTATAATTATGAAGTCATGGGAAGGCAGTGAGCATGGGACTGAGTTTGAAGTTGAGTAGAATATGCTTTAGTGATCATAAATCCTTCTACTTCTGCTACTCTCAAACTTTCTCCTTCCTTTCACTTCAACCCTGTCTTACTTCTTTGTTGTGTTCTCCATCCAGTCATACAACTCAAATTCCACTTCTGTGAACCAGCAGCATCACTGATTTCTGCTCCTAAGCCTTCACAATGCTGTTCCTGTAGAAAGCCTATGTACACAAACACAAAAAGTTCTGCTTGTCTTGGAAGCTCTGAGATGGAATATGTCAGTGAAGAGAGTGCTGGAGACCACCTACACAATGCCAAAAAATCTCTTCTGCAATTATGTAAATAAAATAAGCCACTCAGGACCTGACAAAGTTTATGCAGGTTTTCTAGGCGGCCAAACTTGAAAACACTACCACAAAGCACAGCTTCAATTAAATACTTACAAACATTATATATATATATATATATATATATATATGTGAAAGAAATGCATTTTTCCTGTTAATTTGTTTCTGGAAATGAGTGAATTACTCCTTTAAAGGGACTTAAAAGAAAATCACTACCCTGAGTAAATAATTAATTGTAGAAAATTCCAGCTCGAATAAGTTCATTTTGATCAAAATACAGGTAACTGAAACTGAGTCTTATTGTTTGAGACCTAGCTGCTGGGCTACAAAACTGGCAATAGTGCCTTTACACATTACAGAAGCAAGACTGTGTTCTCAGCCCATATCTCTGAAATTCTCTGTGCTTAATTTTCTGAGAAGACAATGCTTATGCAATCACACATCTGTGTGTATTTTCATATTTCCATTCTCCACCATATTTCTTTTAATTCAAGGATTAATTTCATTGTATAGTTCATATTTGGAAGAGGCACATATTTGGAAGGGCCCTTCTTCATGCCTCCCACCTAAAGCTCAGCTACCTTTGAAATCACAGCAGGTTGCTCCAGCTTTGATTGATTTTTTAGTACCTCTGAGGATGGAGCTTCTTCAACTTCTATAGGGAGCCTCCTTCACACATTTATTTTCTTGCAGATTATGTTGGAACTACTTTTATAAAAATACTAATATTAATGTCCAAATAAGCTGTTCTGTCAACATGCTTTCATTTTCTGCTGTATCTCTTTGAGCTCTTGCTGTGAGTAAAAAATCTATTGCTTGAACAAAAATTAGCTTGTTTCTCCAACCACAAAACTTGCAAGATTTGAACATGAATCTAGGGAAAAAAATTATAAAAGAAAAGTGAAACCTTCCAATTTTATTTTATTGTGTCATCTGTAAAAAGGTAATAAAAAGGGCAATGAGCATGTTAGACAATCACCGTGATTGTCTTGAGAAATCACAAAGATTACCCATTGCTGACAATACATATTTTCCAGGGGAACCCCTTTATGCTACAGAATTCAAATATAGGATTCTACTATCTAAATAAAAATAATTTTTTCAAAAACTCTGTCTTGTGTTTTCCATTGATTTAGAATACATACAGGGGACTTGCAGAAGTTACTCACAAAATTTCAGAGGCTTCCTGCTTTGAATGATCTTAATGGATAGGCTGAAAGCCACTCAGAAATCTATTGTGGCTTTATACTTACATTTTTTCCCCCCACATATAGGTCCCAAAATGTAGTTTCCTGATCCAGATGCTGTTCTTCTCTTCTGAGTAATGGTCCAGCAGGCAGGATGCTGGGGAAGGCACAGCAAACACAAAACTCTGCTGGAGCATTGAGCAGGCTGCAGGGTCAGGTAAGGATCATTTAAACAACATGACATTTTTTCAAATTTCACCAAAGCTTTTAATGTTATTTTGCAACCCAACATGAAAAGTAGGTAATAAAGCAAATTTAAGGCTTGGAAACATCTCCAGTATTTTAGATTAAATCCTTACACTCTATTATTTTTACGTTGGTTTTTCCACTACTTGTTGTTCAGTTTTACCAGAATTACATCATAAATAGGTCTGAGTTTTTTTCACATTCATATTTTTCAGTTGATTTGTGGCACAGTAAATTCTAGCCAACTTTTCTGCTCGGTCCTAATCCCTGTGTCTGGCTGATATTTCACAACATGTGAGGCCAAAACCCCTGATCTTTGAGAGTATTTACTACACTCTTTACTGTGGGGTGAAATCCTTAAAAGTGTCCAGCCTCTGTAGCACTCTTCAGAGCTCCCCACACATCTCCTAGATGATTCAGTAGCAGTTGCATTTCCTGTAGGTGGTGTGGCCAGGTGACCTTTTCATAACACCAAAGTCATTAGCTTTTGGTGTTGTCCCAAAGCAGGTTGTGCAACAGGCAGATTCACACACAGACATGAGGTAATTAGACATACTTACACTTCTGTCCAGAAATGGAGGCTGGATGGCACCTCCACAAAGCCAGCACAACAACTATTGAAACTCTTCGCAATTTATAAAATTTTAGCAAACAGAGGCATTAATGTTCATTGGCTATGAGTCACATAGTTCTCTTATTCATATTAATTCTTCTTTTGGTGGATGATTCTTATGTTAATTAGTCCTATGCTCAGTCTTTCTCATCTTTTATGCTGGCTTTCCAGTATTTTTTCTACAGAAGTCACAAAACCAATTAATCATCTCAAATTTGAGTTAATTACTGTTTACCCAATAGCTTTGTATGAATTCATGCAAAGTGCCAGAGTGATTGCATCAGTCTAAGCTTTTATTAAAAGCATGAAAATATAGACCTCCTGATTTTGGAGAAAAATTTGGAACTCAAGTGTCACCAATGAAAGCTATGGAAAGTTGGAAGCAGGTAATGAGTCACTGTCTTGAGCATGCCAGTTCTTCCACAATGATTGCCAGTAATACATGCAAATAACCTAAGGTTATTTACTCTTCTAAGGCTGTGAAAAAATCAAATGCATGACAAGCAAATAAGTATTTACACTGAGAATTTCAAATGCACATTCAGCCAGTGTTTGACTACAGGATTTCCTCAACAGCTCTTAAAAGAATATAAAAAGTAGCAAGATGCAGACACAGGATTGAATGACTAGCAGAAAACAAGTTTGTTTTGCCATATGGTCATACTAACGTTTCCTCTGTTATGACTTACCTATTAAATGCCTTCGTCCTTCATGATAAATTAAAACATCTCATGTGTTCTGGAAGCAATTCTGTTAGCTCCCAAAGACAGTGAACATTTTAAAATACAACTGTACCAGTACCCCTTTAAAGGTATATGCAAGTGTAATATTTTTTGCCATTAATTTATCATCTCTTAAATTAACAATTTTATGCTGTTTCTTGTATTTATACACAGTCAATGATGAAGGTACAAGCAAAAAGACATCCTTCTCAATAAGGTTTAGTTTCTAAAAACAGGTGTAACACCCAGCCAGATATAGCATATAGGTGCAACACCTATGTTGTGTCCCTTAAAAGAATTAAAAGTGCAGATAAGTTGAAAATATAAATCATAGTAGAATAATCTACTGTTAGGAAAAAAGCTGAGGGATTCCAACCGCTAAGAATAAATGTATCGTTGTGCACTCTGTGATTGTTTTGTAATATTTTTTTCTTTAAATCTTTAATAATCATTAAGGACTTGAACTATATGATGCTTTTCTAGATGAGCTATCTTTTCATTTGTTTTCAATGGAGATTATTTATATAAAATAGTCTTTAAAACTACTGCACAAAAACTAACTTAAGTACACTCTGATATCAGAAGTTTCAGAACAGTTTCCAGAGATCAGCTTAAAGAGGTATCACTCTTTGCAGAGCAGGCAGGTAGTTACAACATTAGCAGAAATTTAGGAACCAAGGTTCACAGTCAGTTTCCCAGAAATTAGATCAGCCTTCCATTACCAAAATGGCTGAGTAACAGAATCTGTCTGTTGGCCACTTTGTTGTGAGTTATCTTCCTACACCTGAAGAAAAGAGGCCGTAAACAAAAAGTTAGAAAGTAGCTGATCCTTTTGAACTTGACAAGGAAGCAAAGGAGATGTTAATCTATAGGCTCACAAATAACCCCTTACCCAAGGTACTGAAGAAGCTCCTGTTCAGGGCAAGTCTGTGAGCTGTGGTGCTCTTCCGTGGTTCTAGAAGGTCACTGTTAAGGAGATTGCTGGATGAGTTTCACCTGACATGCTTCTTTAGTATAAACCATTAAACTAACATAGCAATGAGAACAAAATTTAAAAAGAGTGAGGAGATGTATGTTTCATCTGGTGTATTTCTTCATTGATTCTAAGAGCCACTAGGGCAAGCAGGATTTTTCTCCTGTCCGTGTTCCATTAACTTCAGTCCTCTGACATCCCTGGCCAAAGCTGGAATCAGGCCTTTTTTGCAAAGCTGAATGAAGATGTGTTCTGCCTCCAAGTTTTCCAGATGGTAGTGGGAACAAGGGGAAGACCTTGAAACAACCATTCCATAACTTAGGAAAAACACAATTTTCATCATTGTTGCCAAGGAGAAATTGATGTAATATTTTATGTTCCCTAGCTCCCAAGTGAGGATAACAAACAAAGTCTCTTCCATGGGTCATTCTACAGTCTCTTGAGATCCTCCTGCCTGCATATTTTGTCTGGTGACTGAATCACAGGCACAGCAGTGGAGTGATATCATATGAGTGTCCAGCACATATTTGTGAATCACTGTTCTGTCACAGTATTCAGTGGTAGTTACCCAAGCCGAGAAATAATACTTTCCTGAATGAAGTTATACTAGGTAAAGTTTATTAAGTTTATTCAAAGCTTTTTTTTTTTTTTCTTTCCCCCTGGAGGAAAGAGAGAAAAATGTCACCATGGTGACTTACTTTCAAATGAAAGCAAATTCAAGTGGCAGTGTACTAGCACTTTTTTTTAATTAAGAAAATTTCCCCCTCTAAACACAATCTAGAAGTTTTACTTCATTCCAAGACAGGTGATTAATTAAGTCCTTTCATAGGGAATGTGGGATTTTGTTGGACTGACTACAATCACAATCCCCTATTAGTTTCTAACAGATATCCTGGGGAGGTTAGACAGCAGTTAAGGGACGAAAAGACCTCACAGTGGCATTTGTATGTGCTGATTTAAGGAAAACAGGTATGGAAATAACAGTTTCTTCGATTAATTCTGTTAGTTATAAAAAAAGTAGAGTTTGTATTAAAATATATCTTTGTCATGCAATTCTCTTTTCTACCCTCTCAGACAGCTTCCAACTAAACTTCTAAAGAAAAGGCTGCTATAAATGTAGCTGTTTCTCCTGCAACATGACACAATGCACCAGATTATTTATGTCGCACAATACTCTTTGCAAAATAGAGTTATTAACCTTTATGTCTTGGCTGACTTCTTGTGTGGGTATTTTCCCTCTCTCTTGAATCCTAAGTATGCTTTTCTTCACATCTCCTTGTCTTGCATTCAGGCAAACTTTTCAGCAGAGAGCCTTGATTTGCATGATTTGTGCTCTTCTTTTCTCTCTCCTTAATTGCTCTGCAATTTTTCTCATTTAACCAGTTGTTTGTGTTTCCTAGAATCTATCGTTTCCTAGAATCTATCACACACAAGTAGAGAGACTGCTCCTGTGACTTCCCATTTCCCACAGAAACAAACCATATAACTACATGTTTTTCCTTTTTGATTTTGTTTTATTACAATTCCAGACAAACACAGTATTATTTAATGGACTACAGCTTTTTGCCTGCTCCTTTTGTTTCACACAAAAGAGATGTTTCTCGCCCCATTATCTTGTTCCACACAGTTAGAGACTAACCCCATTTTCCTGTTCCCTTGCTTCTATTCAGAATGAAAGGTTGTGCTATAATTTACATTATCTTAGAATTTTCAAGCATATTTTGATGGATTCAGTCCTTCAAAGATACAGCTCTCTGGGCTACTGAAGAGGCCTGATTTTAAAGTTTTTTGTAGTAAATGATGTGAATTTCATTTTGTATCATGACACTAATGCAAAGGGGAGATGATAATATATCAACATTAAGGTCTGGAATCATATGAATCAACTACAAAATTTCTTATTCTATCTGCTGCTGATTTGCAGGTAAAATTGCCCATTTAGCTTGAGAGGTATGCTGTGGCATTTTAGGGGCATGTGTCTTCATGCCCTTGTGACTGGAATAGAGCTAATTTTCTTCCAAGTACCTGGTACAATGCTGTGTTTTGGAACTGAGATGAGAATAATGTTAATAAAACTCAGGTTTTAGTTGTTGCTAAGTAGAGTTTATGCTGATTTGTGAGGACATTTTATCCTAAGATTGACCACTTTTACTATCTTTGGAGCAGGATGGTTGTTTACCTGAAAATGTACATTGGCATTCAAGAGTGTGGGCATAAACCCAGGCTAAAAAACTCTACTATAGGTACCTGCTGTTACCATTTGTATTGTCTCTAGCTGATTAGAACACCAAGTATAGCTTTCCTTTGTAGCATTTAAATTTAACTTATCTCATGTCCTACTTTTGAAACAATTCCTTCCTTTTACTGTCTTTTTCCTTTTTTCCTTCTTCTTTTTTTTTTTTTTTTTTTTTTTTTTTTTTTTTTTTTTTTTTGTTGGACAGAACCCTTACTCATCTCCTGTCCTCGTGTAACTGAAAATATCTCTCAGATTCATAAGATTTTGTGGTTGCTGTAGATTATTTTGCATAATTTAAATGAAACATTAATATTTCAGGTCTCATTTTAAACTGTGTGCAATTTCAGGATACACAGGTCACAGTGAGGACAAAGTAGTTTTCTAGTAGTTTTTCTCCAGCTAAAGATGAACAACCTGACAATAATGC